ATTTGAACTGCATGCCTTTGAGACTGCAGCACAGATTCTTACCACTAGGCCACTAGAGCTCCCTTAATATGCTACTGTTGTCACTGAGTACCATTGGTGGGTTTTCAGAGGCAGTTAATTGCACAGAAGGAGATCACCCATCTATCTCCCACGGAGTAGGTAGTGGACTTGAACCATGTGACTTTAGGACTGCAAGGCAGCTTCTTACCATTAAACCACCAGAGCTCCCTTATATGCTATTGTTTGTTATTGCTATTGTTATGCCTATGTGCCATCGAGTCACATGCAACTCATAGCAACCCTATGAACTCTGCTCTATTCTGAGCCAACCTAATTGTCTCTGACACATTACTCCAGTCACTGAGTCAATTCATCTCGTCCGGGGTCTTCCTCTCTTGCTCTGTCCTTCCACACTTCTAAGAATGATGTCCCTCTCCAAGGACTGGTCCCTCCTTGCAACATGCCAATAATATGTCAGGAGAAGCTTCAAAATCCTGGACTCCAAGGAGCAGCGTGATTTCACCCTCTCCAGGATGAACTTGTTTATTCTCCTAGCAGTCCATGGTATATTCAATACTCTTTTCCAGCACCACAACTCAGGCATGAATTCTTTGATCTTCCTTAGTCCTTGTCCAGCTCTCTGATGCACATAGCAAGTAACTGCAAAGACCATGGCCTGGATCAGATGCATCTTAGTTCCTAGACTAGCATTGTTGCTCTTCGGTACTCTGGAGAGGTACCTGACAAGAGATTTTCTCAATGTAATTCATCTTCTGATTTCCTGGCTGATGGTACAAAGAGTGTCAATTGTTGAGCCAAGCAAGCTGAAGCCATCAACAATTTGAATCTCTTCACTGCCTATCATGATGCTGTCAAATAGCCCAGTGGTGTAATCTTTATTTTCTTGACGGTGAGATTCATATAGTTGATTGATCTAAGGAGTGCATTCTTGCCAGTTTAATTAATCTTCTCTAGGCCTGTCAATTGTCTGATGAAAGCTGAAGCTGAGTCACAAGATGACGTTCACTCCAGGTTGAAGGATGGCTAATTTCAATCTCTTCACTGCCTATCATGATGCTGTCAAATAGCCCAGTGGTGTAATCTTTATTTTCTTGATGGTGAGATTCATATACTTAATTGGTCTAAGGAGTGCATTCTTGCCAGTTTAATTAATCTCCTCTAGGCCTGTCAATTGTCTGATGAAAGCTGAATCTGAGTCACAAGATGACGTTCACTCCAGGTTGAAGGATGGCTAAGGGCCAGAGTCTCCACCCAGGTTCCACCAATCAAATCAGGTCTGTAAGTCTGGTCTTTATAAGAATTTTGAATCTTGTTCCACATTTTTCTTCTACTCTATCAGGGTCTTTCTATTGTAAACATAACTTTCACATGTACTGGGAAACAAATTTATGTGATTAACTTTACTTCCCCCTCTGCAGGACTCTTCCTATTGCAATCCTCACCTTATTGCATCAGCTGAGCCTGCCTTATTTTCAAGGTATACCTGTACTTTTACACTTTTATCAAGTAGACTTGATAGAAAGATGCTAGCTATGTAGATCTCTTCAAACAGAGGTGACATTATCATTCTCTGCTTTGCTTTTTTTTCCCCAAGACAGATGTCATGCTGCTTGTGATGCAGCGGTCCTGAGCAGCACCTCGGGGCATCCTCAGGTCTTCATGCCTGCACAGTATCTTACCCGGCACACACTGTCTACATTTTATTTAGGCAACTCTCAACTGATTGGCTGGTTTCTCTATTTTGGACATTATAAACAATGCTGCGACATATATTCTTAGGCCTAAGTACACACACAAAGTGGGGGAAATAAAATTCCTCCTAAAAGATTTCCTGGGTCAAGAGTTATGGATGCTGTTGTTGTTGTTATGTGCCGTCGAGTCGTTTGCGACTCATAGCGACCCGATGTACAATAGCCCTAAACTCTCTTCTATCCTGTGCCAATCGCACTGTCTCTGACACTCCCATCCCGATTATCCCAGTCACTGAATCAATCCACCTCATAGAGGGTCTTCCCCTCCTGCACTGTCCCTC